ACTAAATTCGCTAATTTTCGGCCGATAATTTACATCAACTTTAACAGCTTATCGCGACCAAACAAAGCAACCTAGCACTGTAATAAGACTAAATAGTAGTTAATTGGTATCTTAAGAAACAATTGGTAGAATTTTAGTAATTTTGGTGAAATGTTTCGATTTTTACTTAATTTATTTTTGGAGCACATATAAAACTCCTCTTAAAGTAGGGTCAAAACAATCAGATTTTTTTTCATGTGCGACGAAAAATTTTTACCAAAAAGACAACCTGAATTAAAGTTGAAATAATGATTTCCACGAATCATGCAAAATTTTCTTGGGGAAATTATTTTGCGCGTTGCACCACAGCCTGTAAGTTGTAAGAAACTCACGGATTTTATCTGTCGGCGAGTTCAATCAATTTACATATTGTTTACTAATGTAAACGAATTCATGTTGACTTTCTAAGAAATAAAAAAAAAAGAAACGATTTTAAAGAAAAAATAAAAGCTCTTGGACGTATTCTGAAAGAAGTTGAAACAGTAAACTCAAACTATAAATTAAATTTGCTCAAAATTCACTCGACTAACCCAAAATAGTATAGCACGTCTCTGGCCTGAAAATGATAGCATGATTATTTTTATCAAAACATACAAAATATTTGCTACAACCTGCCAGATTCCACAGTTGATTAAAGTTTGAATTTTAAGAATTCTTGCTATGATATATTTTTTACTATGATTTTGGGTTTACATAACAAGACACCCTCCAAAATAACAACAAAAGAAAGTGTTAAAAATGTCATGGTTCCGGTCGGCACCAAGTAACGTTGCACGCATGAAATTGACAAGTAATTGTTGTCCAATCATGTTTATGTTTTTTAACTGCAACATAATTCTTTTCGTTGGTTATTGCGTTGCTTGTAAGTACACTGAATAGAATGGAGATTTGCTGTTCATTTAAAACGATTGTTGGAGGAACCTGTGGATTCGACAGAAAAGATCGAAAGCAAGACACCACAGTTRTACCTTTACAAGCATGTAAAAAAGAAATCAATGCGCATAGATCCGCATTTCAGTTTACGGGCATCGAGAATGAGATAGATCTGATTCTTAGCCGAGCAGCCATATTTACTTCGCCGGAAGATATCCATAGTTGGACTGTTTGTCCCCTGCATCGATCCAAACTTGGGCTAGGATGGGCTAGAGGTAATAACGCCAGGTGTAGAGTACCCAATACACTCTCTAATCACAGTGAAATCAAGGGAAAGTGGCCAAAGTGCGATAGGGGTATTAGTAAGGACGATTCGCAGCTGATATTAAAGAAGACTGGCATTTCCCTGCAAGTTGGATCAGGTAAGAAATATGTAATGAATATTTAATTTATGTTAAATGATTGTATATGAATGTTCGATATGCTATTTTTTTTGCCAGGTATCTGTTCATATTGTCGTAAGACGTTGAAGACATTGGGGCCAATTAGTCCAAATAAAGCAGAAAGTCTTCTCGATCAGATGAGTGCATTACCACTTGTAAGTTAGAACTAGTAGTTCACTACTGAGGTTTTCCATATTCTGTGAACTCAGACATTTCATTGGCTTGTTGTGAAATTGGTTTTCACTGCCGCCACTCAAGAACAAAGAAGGTACGGACTGATTATTTTTGATTGATGGCAGCGAAAAACTAAATTTGAGTGTGCAGCTCACTACCGAGTTACTGTGCGATGCAATCGATTATTTAATGAATTCGACGAATATGAGAAACTTTTTATTTACATGTTTGGCGGGAAATGGCGCACCTGCGGCATTTGTATGTACTGCGCTAATAATGTTGTTTAATACTAAATAAATAAAAGAAAAGAAGAAAAAAGCAAATADTTGTTTTATTTCCACTAAATACTTACTGCTACTATGTACTCCCTATTTCCAGAATAGTGATAATGAGGATGAGAAAGTAAAGTTTGGTCCACAATTTACCACCCCAACGTTTCAAGCATCAGCAGGTGTTGTTACGGAAACCCCTATGAGCCTATATCAACCTGGCAAGACATCTTTTGCTTCCACCATCTCAGAAGATGAATATTGGTCCTGAACTTCATATGGGCTGGGCCTTAAAATCATCTGCTAAGATCGAAAAAGCGGTTTTCTGATACACAGGAAAAGTACCTAGTTGATGTGTTCGATGCTGGGGAGCAAACAGGTCAAAAAGCCGATCCAGCTGATGTATCGAGAGAGATGAGATCGGCCAGACACATCGACAGTTCACGTCATTTTAACAAGAGCGACTTTCTAACATCACAGCAGATCGCTAGCTTTTTCTCGCGCTTGGCGAAAAAGAGGAGGACAACAGCAGCCGAAGATGAAGATAATGATGATGATGACGGTGCTGCTGCTGATGATGGTGATGACGATGACAAGGGCAATGACGATATAAATAACGATTTCGAAAAGCAAAAACAAAAAGAAATCCAAGAATTGACGAAAATCTTGATGGGCACAGTGGTTTTACTTACACTAAGGCCTACCTAAGTTTAAAATATTAGCAAAATCAAATTTTCGACCCTTGCCGCGGATTTGCCAAAATGTCTGATTTTTGCTGACAACCACTCTTAAGTAGTAAAATTTGGAGAATTTCAAGTTTGTTGGTGGGTAGTATCACTTTAAGTCTCCATAATTTTGAATCCACCAGATGAAATTACTTGAAAGTCTGTAAATAGTTCGGTTTTACTTTCCAGATGAATTTTTACAATTTGTTAAAGATTCTATTGTAAAGTTTCAGAGAACAACTAAGTCTTTTTATGCATAATATGCATAAATTAACGCCGATTGCCATTACACACCCAACACTCAAACTTCAATAGTCCCTTTCACAGTTCTCTACGCCATCTTGAAAGGTAGCCGTGCCTTTGCTTCGAAGAGAGACGGACGGTGAGCTTGCAATGATAGAGACCTTTTTTAAGCACCTTGGACAATTATTCACATGTCTTTATCATTGCAAGGTCACTGTTCGTGGTAGCAGGAAACAAATTACACAAAGTTCCACTGCCTGTCGCCCGCATTTCATAACCTGAGGTTATAACCAGCAGTCATTATCATTATTATAATTGTCGTCTTTGTTAGTTAGTTAGTTAGTTAGTTTATTTATTAATTCATTTATTCATTTTCAGATCCATGATATACTAAAAAGTAAACTTAATATCATTCCTCAAGGCTTATCATACTGTATCTATCCTCATGGGATCATTATGAAGATGGAAATGTGGATGTAACTTTTGACGGAGGAGTTAATCTCCATTGGCAATAAAAATGTATAGAAGGCAACACACTACAAAAAAGGGAAGGGCGTAAAGAAATTCTTTAAAGAATCGACAAGCATCGAGGAAGCAGGCAGTCCAATGACTTTGAGAATTCCGTTTGGTTTCGGAAAAGAAATTACAAAACCGAACAAATGTTTTAAAAATAAAATAAAAATAAAAGTAGAGTCATCTATCGCAATAATCCTTTGGCGTTCCATTCATTCTACTAAGAGCCTAAAAGCGATACCCTTTTCCCTAAATCCACGAGATAAATAAAGATTCAAAAACAGGAGTTTTCTGTTTTCTGTTCTTAGTTTTTGTTTACTCGTTTCGACATTTGCTTTAGCGTGCCAGTGGACTTATTTTATGACCAATGGGAGGGCATTTTATAATTTGGGTTTTACGGTGCGCGTTGTGGTCACGGAACGCGGGAGGAATTTAGAGGGGTTAGATGATGAACGCAAGTGTTCTATGGGGTATAGAGTCCCAAGCATTAGATAGAAAGCCACGAGGGCGGAGCCCGATGCAATATTTTCTTTTCTCCGAATGTCAGGGAGTTTTTAAAGATTTTTGCATTAGTTATAGTGATTTGCAACACAGAATTAAACGGCGAGGTCATATGTCGTGCGTCCGTAGGATGCACACGTGACTAAGGAACTCGATGACGGCGGAAAGAATGTCAGATTTAGCACTTGCTATCCAGATAAAACGCATTACTGCGGTTTTCGATATTCTGCGAAATCAGAAGTTGCACGCTGAAAATTGATTATATTCTTGGAATCCTGAGAGAAAGTTTGGGACAGCATTCGGAATTTATTTATTTACAGAACTTTATCCATGACATTATCAAAGAAGTTCCTAAGCTGTCATGGGAGGGGTATGCACAATAGAGCTTGGCTCCAAATTAAGTTGACCCTAACATTCATTATTGAAGCGAAATCTTCAGTCTAACATACACTATTAAGCCAAGCATATATGCAACTGAAATGCAAGAACGCAGCTTTTTGTGCCAGGAATATGTAATATTAATAATGACTTGCTTTTGTTTCCGCTATAAACAAGGGCATACGAGCCAAGTTAATCAAATTTTCAAAATTTTCAAATATTTTGTTTCAGTAATGAATGTTCAGATCGAATAATGAAATTAAAAATCCAAAAATGATTGATTTTCTGCGATTTCTACCTCTAGGCCTGGTTGTACGAAGCCTGGATAACGCTATGTGGCGGATAAATTCTTATCCAGAGGATAAGTCGATGCCACCCGGCCTAGAAGTAAAAATCACAGGATGTCAAAAGGCGGGTCAAGACCAGGAATATACAGACAAGTTACAGCGATTCTCAATCACACGCGTGAAATTGTACTATTTGTTATCGTGATGAAGTAGGTTTATAGATGGACGTCAATCTGAATCAATGCGTTTCCATGACGTTCCACAGGCACGCGCCTTTAAAGCCTTTGTGGCTTTGTTTTTGAGCCTCGAGCGGCGTAACCCTGCTTGGTTTTGGAGTGAGCTCAGTTTCGCCTGGAATAGCAGTTTTGATTTGCTTCCCAGCGGCGTGTTGGTGTAAGTCATGAAGCTATTTGCAGTTTCCAGCAGTTTGGTGAAAGAATATTGATTGTTATTTGTGTATTCATTGTTTTACTTTTCCGCGTCTTCCACGGGACTATGTAATTATATGCTAAATATACAAAGATGTAGTATAAATGAAATGTGTAGTTGGTTTGTGTGTGAGTGTGTGTAAATGTGTGTAAGGGTGTGTAAGGGTGTGTTATGTGTGTAAGTGTGTGTAAAAATGTGTAAGTTGTCACGTCCGGGAAGTGGAAGAGTAATACTTTCCCAACGGACACAAAGATTTGGGTCGTTCTTCGGTTGCTTCCTTCTGCTTTGTTTTCTGTTGGTTGTAGTACTTTACAATGATCTCATCTGAACTCTGGTTATGGCTATTTACTAGCTGCTACTTCGCTGTGCTCTGTGCTATCAGCTCTCACTCTTGCTCTCAACTGCCAACTCTCACTTAACTGCCAACTGAACTGAACTTTGAGTGAGCTCGTATTTAAGAGCTAAGCTTACGGAATACCCCACATAACCGGTTCATACTCGGGTCAAACTAGATTAGACCAGTTAGGTCAAGTATGACTTAAGAGCTTGAGACAGGTGTTGACCTTAGGAAAAAGTACGAGCACTCAGTTCTAAGAGCTGACCCTGAAAATCTGTCGATGGTGTTCGCTAACTTAACTAGTATAGAGCAGGTTGCACTAAAGATATTCTAAAGTTATAAGTAAGATCATTCTAAAAAAGTGAACAGAAAAAGGCTTAGGAAGTAGTTGTTTGTACAGTAAACAACCCTGCTCTTTTCCAGTACGCATCTACAAAGTTGTACATGGTAGATTTGCAGCTGTTGTTTACTACAAAAAGTACTTCCCAATAGCCCACTTCCGAGATATGCTTCGCTTGTCACGCACAAAGGTTTCAGTATGAGGCTACGTGCTAAATTAAATTAATTCTTACCTTATTTATTCTGTCACGAATGACTGAGCATTTAGTACGTAGCCTCATACTGATACCTTTGTGCGTGACAAGCGAAGCATATCTCGGAAGTGGGCTATTAAAAGTAAAAGTCTATGTCAATGAACAAACATCCTTGACCCTCAGGTCAATAGACAAATCATTATGAATGACTTACCATTGGTCAATGACAAGTTGTCTATTGACAAGTCATTAAATTAAAGACATTTCCTTAAATTTCCTATTTACAGAAGGCTTAACAAATAAGTTTCTTTTTCTAGATTACTTTTCCCTTAGTAATATTTTCCCCTTATTATTATTTTTCCCCTTTACAAAATGTGTGTGTAGGTGTATGTGTAAGTGCGTGTAAATGTGTGTAGGTATATGTGTAAGTGTGTTTATGTGTGTGTATCTATGTGTAAGTGTGTGTAAGTGTACGTGTAAGTGTGTGTCGAGGTGTGTGTAAGTGTGTGTGTATGTGTATGTGTTTTAAGCGTGTGTATGTGTGTGTAAGTGTGTATGTATTGTTGTGTGTAAGTGTATGTGAATGTGTGTAGTGTGTAAGTATGAGTAAGTGTGTGTTATTGTGGTTGTAAGTGTGTGTGCAAGTGTGTGTAAGTGCGTGTTAGCGTGTCTGAGTGTAAGTGTGCGTAAAAGTGTTTATGTGTGTGTAGGTTTGTGTAAATGTGTGTGTAAGTGTGTGTAAATGTTTGTAAGTGTGTGTAAATGTGTGTTTATGCGTGTGTAAGTGTGATTAAGAATGTAATTGTGTGTCCGTGTGTGTGARTGTGTGTAAGTGTCTGTAMGTTTGTGTGCAAGAGTGTGTAAATGTGTACAAATGTATGTAAGTGTGTATAAGCGTGTGTAAGTGTGTGTAACTTTGTGCAAGTATGTGTAAGTGTATGTAAAGGATAGTAAGGGCTTGTGCAAGCGTGTATAAGTGTTTTTCTAGGTGTGCGCAAGTGTGTGTAATTGTTTGTGAGTGTGTGTAAGTGTATGTATG